TCATGCATAAGGAATATATAGACGTGCGGAAATGGTGGAACTGATTTGTCTTTGTCCTTTGATTTCTAAAAATGACTTTAAACTAATTATATAATATTTCTTTCCTAATATATGTAATGATAGTAATGTTTATACGATTAGTATTTTTGCACAAGTGAATATTTATCATTTATAGACCTGGAGCGAAGGAGATTCGGCGAAATATCACCCGAACTGATCATATTTCCCCAGGGACTTTGTCACGAGGAGAAATATCATCACTGAGGTGTAATATTTCGCCAAATCCCCCGAGCGGAGGGTCTACAAATGACATATCATACCAAAAATTAAAGGCCTCCAAGTTGAGAATTAATAATTTGACATATACCTTCGTGAACAGGTTGTTTTATTTTCGGATTAACGCAAGTATAGTCGCTTTTCTTTCGAATCACGTATCGTTTGGAAAATTAATGACGACATTTTTCAAAATTTACTTCAAAATTTTGAAGAAGCCCCAGGTTTACGTTAAAAATGTAATTATTCATCACTAATTAAATACTATTTATTGGTCCGTGTGTTGTGACCTCGAAAAGTGCCTAGAAAACGATTTTCATTAAGCATGTCTTAGATCTGAAATATTTTTACGGGAACTAACACTTTCGAACGCGCTGAGTTCAAATCCGAAAAGTTCCCTCTCCATAGACCCGCAGTTTTCTCACAAACTGCTATTTTATCTTCACTAATTTCACAGCAAATTTTTTCATTGTTCAACAAAACGGATCGATGACGATACACAATTACGTCACTCAAAAGGATCAATTTCTATTAACCATTCTTCATTTTAACAAAAGACCGGTTTTGCTCGAATCATTTTGAGTTATGCAATCTTATGCGTGTTGAACGTAAACGACATATATCTTGTCTACAACTTTGAGAGGGCACAGATAATTCATTCTAATATCCTTAGTTCTGGATCTATCTCCATAAAATTACAAGGACGTTAATGTTAAGTCTTTGGGCTATGTCTCTGGGCTGAGAAATAATTGCTTAGATGCGATCAAAATGTTTTATACAACGATGTAAAACGGTAATCTTCTGTAATGGATAAATTTGCCCTTTTGAGTGACATAATTGTGCATCGTCAACGATCCGTGTCGTTGAACAATGAAAACTTTGCCGTGATATTATTGATTAGATAAAATAGCATTTTGTGAGAAAACTGCGGCTATACGGAGTGCACGTGGGAACTTTTCGGATTTGAATTCAGCGTGCTTGAAAGTGTTAAGGCGGTTTTCCAGTTCTCGCACGAAGCTCCTCGCAGCGCGCTGCGAGTGCTTGCATCTAATTAAAATTAACTGTTTAGCATTATGATTGGATGAAAGTGCTCATGGATGCACTCGCAGCGAGCTGCGAGGAGCTTCGTGGGAGGACTGGAAAACCGCCTTTAGTTCCCGTCAAAATATTTCAGATCTAAGAAATGCTTAATGAAAGTTAACGATATTGGGTCACAACACATGCACTATATGTTTTGCCGGCCATCTTGTCGTCTTGCGTGTTGTCCCGCGTGGTCTACGTGAATAATATTCCACCCAATGTTTCCGGGGAGCATGGGGTGGAACATTGTCAAAAGGACCGTTTTGTGGAAGTGACTAACAAAGAAATAAGGGAAATTAAAATAAATTCAGTCCCAAAATTTTAGTATTTTTACACAAAAGACTTGTGTAAAAATACTAAAACTTCGTCTCGGGGAATATTCCCAGATAATCACATCGCCTTCGGCGGATAATTGTTAAAAATCATTGTAATATTAAACAAAATAAAATTTTGTCGTTATATTTATTCGTCATTATGTCGTGGTGGCTTTTTAATTATTGAAGCCAGGCTATACCTAATAAAATTAAATAGTTGTCATGGCAGTTGGTGGTCTGCAGGCTGCTTGGGATGCTTTGAGCTTTGCACATGGTGAAACTATTATAGACGACGAAGAATTTGATTTACCGAGCTCTACGGGTATACAATCGGTCCAAGGCACTTTTTCCGCATTGGAAATTTAACTTATTTGATTTGGAAACTTGAGACGATGTGGAGTGTGAAACAGAGATGCGATTTCAGAAAAACGATTTGCCATCGGTCATGAGATGTTTACAAATTCCTGAGCAAGTCATCTGTGATCAAGGTACAGTCTGCAGTGGAATGGGTGGTCTAAGTGTTGTCTTGAAGAGATTGGCTTACTCTTGTAGGTACACCGATATATGGCACATCGATTTAGGCGACGTCTACCTGAGTTGTGTCTCATTTTCCGTAAAGTGGTAGATACCCTGTACGAGCTCACGACCATCACCTTGAGAGTTTGGACCATCCCTTTCTAGCTCTATAGCAATACACCGACGTGGTTCTCTCTGCAAATTTGTTTTGGGTTTGTGGATGGGACAGTACGAAGAATAGCTCGACAAAACTACAACCGGCGAGTGATTTATAATTGCCCTAAGCGAGTACATGCCTTCAAGTTCAAAGCATTGTTTTACCAAATGGCCCTATTGGTAACCTGTCTGGTCAATACGAAGGTAAACGACACGACAGTACCATGTTGTATGAGTCTTGCGTCAGTAGCGTGCTGCCTAACTTACAACGTGTTCCTTTGTGCAACAATGAGCCACTTTGCATTTATGGTGACCCTGCATATCCTTTGGGAATTCACCTTCAAGGGTAGACAACTAACTCCCGAAATGGAAGACTACAACAAAGGGATGAACGAGGTCAGAGTAGCTGTGAAGTGGATGATTGGAAAAATCACCAAGCAGTTCAGTTTTGTCGACTTTAAAAGGCAGATGAAAATCAATTTAAGTGGCATTGGCAAAATGTATGTAATTTGTGCCTTGCTTGAGAATGCTCGTACCTGCCTCTATGACAAGATTGTTTCAAGTTTTTTTTGCACTTCAGCCACCTTCTTTATTTGAATATTTTAGGTGACAATTCTATTCTATTCATGTTAATTTGAATTTTAATTGTACAAACCTTTTTTCTGTAAGCTGAGATCAAACATTGTTTGAAACACTTCTTATATTTTTGAGAATGCATGAAAGTTCTTTCATTTTATATAAAATGTTATTCCATATGTTGAAAAAATACAAATTAATAATATGTATGTTTATAACAAATACAAATATTGAATATATAAATTAATACAATAATTTATAATATATATTACATATATGTGTATCATATTTACAATATAGCATAATTAGTTTCAAAATTCAAATTAATTAATAATTAACCTTAATATTAGATTAGCTTTTCTCAATGAAGGCCAAAATCCGCCATTTTTGGGGTACTGTCTGCTCTCGTGAAGAATTGTAGACAATTCAAACAGCATAAAAAGCGACTTTTAAAGGTTGTAACTGTAAATTTACCATTAAGTTCTTTGCACGTTTGCATGGCGATAAAATATAAAAGATTTGTTTGTGGAAACACCACGTAACACCACCTTTTATTTTTTTGCAGTAATAAATGTACGTGATATTTCTAATAATAATTACATTTACCATTATACAAAAAACTACACGTGGGAGAGGCAGTACCCCAAAAATGGTGGTAAAATTGGCCATGAGAAAGTCTAATCAGGGGCTCACCATTAGATTTCTGAAGGGGGTGGGGGGTTGAGTGATCTGATATATGTGTAATGTCTTTTCAAATGTCACTAGCGTTGCTGCGGTCACCACATTTGCAAAGTAGTGTGCAGGGTAAGTTATTCTTGTGGCAGGAACAACGTGCTGTACTGCACTCACTAGAACATCCGTATTGACAAGCTCTACAACTGACTCAGGTGCTGGTGGTTCAAGACATTTCTTGGGAGAAATTGTGCCATCGGATATTGTCTCCCATCCATTATCACTCGGTAGTGGTGTTTGCGGGCGTGGCTCTCTGTAGCCTTTGTTGATTGCCGAAATAGCATTGGCTCTCTGAATGTGCGGTTTCAGTGCTCCAGGAGTGGGTGGCAACTTTTCCGACTCGAGATTCTTGGTTCAGAATAGTTCCCATCTCAGTTCCCCAAATATTCCGCATTTGCTATTTTTGGCATACACCTCGCATATAAATGATTCTAGAACATTTGAGACGCTTTCCTGGTCAAAATGATCCTCACCAAAATTCTGAAAAATATCAACTGCATCGGAATCTGATTCCAAAGCTAGATAGTGATTTATCAACCTGCCCTTTCATATACCTGCAAATTTCCCTCCCCAGTCAGCACCGATAAAGGCGTGGAGGTTTAGTAAAACTTTACTTTTCTCGGTTCCAACTGCCATTGAGCCACTCAGCTGATATTGTTCCTTGGTTGCTGGTTGGTCGCTATCTGTGCAGTAAGAATCGTGGAAATCTTTGATTGGCTTGATTAACTCAGGGGCGATCAAGAAAAATCTATCGAGTGCACCTGCATTCTGTGTGATGCCAGTTATCCCTCCCGCTACCTTAAGTTCTCTGATTAACTGTTCTAATGTTTGATCCACGAACAGTTTTGTTAATGATATCCCCCATTTCGCTGCCATGAAGTCGCCACATTCCAGTGCCTTCCAGGTTTCCTGGTCAGTGTCCTTAAGCCGCTGCATTTGGTCAAGATAAACTGGTACGAGACGAGCATATTTGTAAAGATCATGCGCAAAATAGAATTTGATATTCTCTTCAAGAGCACCAAGGTGAAGTTCCCACTCTTCCTGTCTGCTCGCTCGAATCAAGTGAAGCAAACTCTCTACCTGCTTCATGTAGCTTCGCAGCAATTGCGCCATTTCTCCAAGGTCGACGTCTTGTTCAAGTGAAGATTGGAATAGTTTTAAGAAGATTGCACCTACTTCCTCAAAGACCTCTTTCACGTCTTCTTGCCTAGTCTTGTTTTGAGTAGATTGCGAAATTCATAACATTTCACTATCATAGATCTCGCATCTTGTTGCTGCAAAGAGGCTTCTAAAAGAAGGTCATAGCAGGCCATAATATTGTTCAAATGGCACTCTTTCAATGTTAAGGGTGTTGATCCTTCGACCTTTGAGCATATGATGCACTTGTTGGCACTGGTTTCTGCGGTATCCATGTTAGAGGAATAGCTTCATCTCTTGACCATTTCTTCATCTCTTCTTCCTTTTGTGCATGTCTGGCATTCCTAGGACAGCACATTAACCATGTCATATTACAACTAAAATCACATTAGACCTATGATGCTTTTTTCGCGCACTTTTTCGATCAATTTCAAATTAGTAATTACCTAATTTAAAAGTTTTTGCCTCCAATTCCAAAATCACGTTCAGCTGCTTAGACAATGAAATATATGAAAAAATACACACAGCTCATGTAGTGACAGCTGTGTCCGCCATCCTGGATGTCTGCAGTGTAAACTTTATAATACAAGCAACACTGTAAAAAATACATAAAATAAATCAAAACCGTGTGAATTTAACTGCTATAAAACCGCGTGACAGAGCAGACAATTTTAGTGAATAAATCATTTATAATAGAAATAAAATATATAAGAATTAGATAAAAACATCTTCCTTGAGACTGGTAAACAGCTGAATCATTCTATAGTTTGTCATGGTATTTCGTCTCGACCAAATTATGACGAAATCGGGAATAAATTTTGCACAACACCAATTTTTAAAATTATGCGCATAAATAAAATCAGTAAATACGCATACTATTTTAAAATAACAAAAATGATGACTAATAAAATTTATTTATACGAATTTTATAGTGTACGTACTTTTTCGAGGGAAAAATAAGCAGAAAAACCTGACATCTTGGACACAACGTAAAAAATGTTTTTGACGTCCTCAAAATCGCTGTGACGAAGTCGCTATAGCAAGACAACGCCATTTTTTTCTCGCCAAATGACGTCATCCCACATCGTCCTCACGTTCACGTCATCGTTCTAAATCTGTTTAGTAAGACATTCAAAACGACGTCTCGGGTAAGGTCAACAACATATTATGCAAGAAGTTTCAAAAGAGCGTCGCTCTTGATATATGAACGGTTTTTCTACCATATTTGACGAAAACAATTACCAAGACTGGACAAGAAGGCTATATACTGTAGAAAGGTATGTAAGCAATGCTGAAAAAGCTCTATTACCATTCATATTACTGTCATGAAACGCAATGTTTTTGCTTTCCGTCCAATTCTTCGTGGATTTTGAAAGAACGAGGCAATTTATATTATTTATACATTTTTTTGCTGAGTTGTGCGTAGCTTATGGAAAGTCAATACGATCGTGGCATTGTGGTTTGGCGACGAGCGGACGAATTATTCGGCTCGTAACGAGCGGACAAATTGGGCAAATCAAACCACTCGTTAAGTGTTTGTGTATCATGTGACAAAGTATTAAATAATTATGTGAAGGACAAAATACTATCAAATAACGGGTTGTACGACCAGTACGAGACCTATCAATTGGAGAGCATTGTGTTAGAAAGTTCTTGATAAAGAAGGATATTTTTGAAAGTTGTTGATAACGACGGGTTTTAAAACTCGCACGAACCTTCATATTCGGCAGTATAGGACTTGTGTGCCGCTACAGCGTGAATGCTTTTCTATTTTGATCTAAAACTTCTTCAACTAGTTGCCAGAGATTTTGAGTTAATGAATTTGCATATCTTCTGAGGCATTATCAATGAGAGTTTTTAAAAACGAAAGCTTAATATATTATTGGTACCTGCACAGAAAAAACCATCTCCGGTGATACCTTCCTTACAAGCGCAGGTAAAGGATCCAGGTATGTTGGTACAATTTGCGTTCACATGGCAAGGATGAGATGTACATTCATTAATATCTAAATAAAATAAATAATAATAATCAATAAGTAATCCGTAACAAATTATTCAAGTTTTAAATTATTAAAAGGTTAACGAAAACGACTAACAAAGGTCGACGAAAACGGCTAGTCTTGTTGCTATAGCTGGCATATGTTATAACCACTATACATGTTTAGCCAGGCGCTAACCAAAATACATACATTGCTCCTGTCTTACATTCACAGTTCACACCATCTCCGCTGAAACCTTTCTTACAAGCACAGGTGTAGGTGTAGAAACCGAGTGTATTATTACAGTACGCGTTCACATTGCAAGACGAAGATAAGTTCAAGAAGTACCAGAAGATTATGGCAGCAAAGATGACAAGAAAAACAGAACGAAACAAACCTGGAAAGGATAAAGACCGGCTCGTACCTCAAAAATTAACAATTCAGCAATTATCAGCTCAAGTTAAAGGATATTCCCAAAAATATGGCAGAATGGGTGGGGCCTTTAAAAAGAGTAGATGTTTTGGAAGACGACGTGTGTGCACCACCAACTATTGATGTTGTGAGAAGGGCTTGTATTGCTCATTTCAACATGAAGGGGTTTGATTGTGATATACTAGAAACTGAGGGAGGACCATCTATCGAAAATCTAAACGAAGCAAAGAATTTTAATGGCACATTTTTTGTGACTGTATATTGTTTGTGGATGAATTGTACAAAAAATGTGCCAATAAAATTCTTCACTTCGTTTAGATTTTCGATAGATGGTCCTCGCTCAGTTTCTGGTATATCACAATATAGAACAAACCCCTTCATGTTGAAACCAGCAATACAAATCCCTCTCACAACATCAATAGTTGGTGGTGCAAACATGTCTTCTTCCACAACATCTACTTTTTTAAAGGCCCCATTCTGGCATACTTTTGGAAACATCCTTTAACTTGAGCTGATAATCGCTTAATTGTTAATTTTTCAGGTACGAGCCGGTCTTTATCCTTTCCAGGTTTGTTTCGTTCTGTTTTTCTTGTCCTCTTTGTTGTCATAATCTTCTGGTACTTCTTGAACTTAACTGCCCACTCGCAGCTTGGTCAACTTCTGGCTAGTATTTGTTAAGTATCGCCATGGAATTTGAATTTTCAATGTGGGAGACCATGAAAATATTTCGTTATGAAATACAAATTAAGATATTTGTCTAGAAACTTATCAAAATGAATATACTGAATTGATCATTTCAATGCCTCGATAGTCTAGTTGTTATGACAAGTGAGAACTGTACATGTTTGAGCAGGCGTTAACCAAAATACATGACACCATCTCCGCTGAAACCTTTCTTACAAGCACAGGTGTAGAAACCGAGTGTATTATTACAGTACGCGTTCACATTGCAATTATCAGCTCCGTTAGTACATTCGTCAATATCTAAATTTAATATACAATAATTCAAGGCATGAAATTTTATGTTGAGACGATTTCCTAACCCACAAAGAAATCTTAGACTTGTTTCAGCGCGACACATTGTTTTGAGCGAAACTTACACGGAGTTGATAAGCCTGAATCAACCTGCACTGTTACCACGTACGGCAACTCTTATTTTATAGATAAGTATTAATTCCATTAATTTCCCTGTTATATGAAAGTGGAAATCTTGACCTCAACGGACAATAATGTCAGGTTTCTTGGCAACATGCATATAATTGAGCACGCACTTCATTTTCTAACGCTTGTAGGATATTTTGTATATAAGTTGCATATCTCCTGTTGTTTATGAATGAGGAATTCAAAATGAAAATTCATATTTCTATACCTGCGCAATGTGTACCATTTCCAGTGTAGCCTTCCTTGCAAGCACAGGTATAGGAACCAGATGTATTGGTACAGGATGCATTCACATGGCAATTATCACTTCCAAATCTACAGTCGCCAATATCTAAATGAAATATTAATTCGATAATATATTAGTAGAATAAATCTAAAAAATCGGTACGTTACCAGCTACAGTCAATTTTTAAAATACCTTTCTGAAAATGGAATAAGTTTGGCAATCACATGATCGATCACACAATGATCGATCACACAATGATCGATCATATATACATATGTGCTTGTCCTATGATAGTATTGATCGCAATGTATAGTAATAAATGCTGTTATTCAACAGGTGTTATAGATATTCGAGCATGACTACCGATAAAGGGTAGAGGTAAAACGCGGAAACGGAACCGAACCAACCGGCGGAACCAGAATGGCGGAACCGGAAAAGCGGAAACGGAAAAAAGGGTAAAAGGCGGAAAACATACTTTGAAACCAAACTTTGATTTTGTTAACAAAATCAAATTTAATTTAATTACATATACCATAATAAAACGAAGTAAATGTACCTCATTACTAGAAACCTCTTCCAGGACCTAAGAAGAACAAAGTAACTAAAAAAATTATTTCTCGTGATATGAGTGATAGTGCCTGGCGTGAGTTTGGTCGATGGATAACCCAGAAAGACTGGAATCCAGTCCTTAATACTTCCTCCTGTGAAGATAAGTTCCAACTATTCATCACAAAGTTAAAGCAAGGTGTCGATTGCTATCTTCCACAAAGGACAGTAAAAGTTCACCAAACAGATCGCCCAAGGATGACAAATAAACTCAATATTTCAATATCTAGTTTATATATACTTGTATGTATTATTTATAGTAGTCTACTAGTTTGAGACTCACAGTACTGTATACTGACTACAGAGAGATTTTTTACCAAATTATACACAAATAATCGTAATTAAATATTCCTCAATCAGTTAATCCCTAACAACATCAATATTCATCCAATTATTCATTTTCCTGTTGTTTACAATTTTGTATATACTTTTCTTTGGTTAATAGCGAGTGCACCCAGACAAGTTGTATGAGTTTAATGAGCTAACTACCACTCGAGCATTGAAGAGATCTGTTGATGCCAATGCAGACCAACCTCATGGTTACAATAAACAACCAAAGCAACTTAAGCAAGCCACTCTTTCCTGGTCGAAAGGTAGTGTGAAACGTCCTCTGCTTTCCAAGGAAAACCTTGGTAGACTTACATTAAATATGGTTACCGAATCCTTGCTTCCCATGTCATTTGTCGAACAACCATCATTCAAAGAATTGATATATGCTTGTCAACCTGGAGTTGAATTATCAACCAGATATTCCATCACCAAGGGCTTAGAAAAGAGGCAAGAGACTTCAATGGCTGCTGTCAAGGATGCATTGGCAAAGGTTGAGTGGATGCCACCACAACTGATTGTTGGTCTGCACACCGCCGATCCTATATGGGTGTAACAGCTCATTGGCTTTCTGCTGATTCTTTTAATAGAGAAGGTGCAGCTTTAGCTTGTCAAAGAATTATGGGAAGTCATACTTACGACCGCATTGCTGCACACCTTAAAACCGTACACAGCGATTATGGTATCAACAGCAAAGTGGTCAAAACTACCACCGACAATGGCTCCAATTTTATAAAAGCATTTGCTGTCTTTGCCCCATCAGAAGATGAACTTGATGTCTCTGTTACTGACATGAATGACATTTTCTCTGATGAAGATGAAAGTTTGGAACTTCCTTCTCATCAAAAGTGTGCAGCTCATTCACTTAACCTTGTTTCAACAACTGATGCTGCTGCAGAAAAAGATTATCAGTACAAAAAGCTCAGTCGTGCTAGTTTTGCCAAATGTCAAGCACTTTGGAATAAGACTGGAAGAGCAGTACAGGCGAAAGAGATTATTGATGAAGAAAGCCCCTTGCAAATCAAACGACCTTGCTCAACACGATGGAATTCAGTTTTTGATGCTGTTCAGCGATTGAATAAAATTAACAAGGTGGCTGTAGCAGGACCTCAAACTTTAAACAACATATGTCAAAGACTTGACTTGCCTAGGTAAGTACCGTACTATAAATTAATTAATTAATATAATATAATTATATTTTAATATTTATAGTCACTAGTCAGTAATTTAAAATCTAGTTACAGTATTTTATCTCTGCACTCTGTCACTCACCACATTTTATTCTATTCCCTCACCACATTAACTAGGTTCAAAGATACTGAACTAGAGTTCCTCAACTTGTATGAAGCTGTTATGAAACCTGTTGCAACTGCACTCGATGTATTACAAGGTGAGAAAGATACCTATATGAGAACCTTGCTTCCCACAATAGTTTTCTTATTAGAATGTCTGATGAAAGAAAGAAGAAAACAACAGGAAAACAATAAGATGTTCATGCTGCCATTAGTTGACGCCATAGTTTCGGGTATACATGCAAGATTTGATGATGTGATGGATGATGACCAGGTGATTGCTGCTTCTATTCTCATTCCCAAGTTTAATTTTGGACCACTGGACTGACGACAATTTCCAGTTAAAGAAAGGTTTGGGAATACTTCCTATATTAGTTTGGTTAATGGTTATAGGGTTGTCTATAGATTGCATGAGTGGTTAGTTCAGAATTATTATAATTTAAATAAGATTAATTATCATTAATAATCAAATAATTAATATATATAGTTGCTAATGAAATATATTTTACATTGATTTGTTCCAAGGGCTGGAGTACATTCGGAACCGTTTAGTTGCTGACAATGTGATAGAGAGCGAGGAAACGGAAGCAAAGGAAGATGAAGTATCTGCAAACAAATTTTTTAAGACAAAGAAGAAAAGTTCAAAAGATGTGCTTGAGCTATACTTGTCATCTGACAACGATGATTTTGATATTTTCAAAGAACGATGTGCTTCCCTAAGAAAATTGGCTTTGGAACTGAATACTCCACTTCCAGCCAATGCAGCATGCGAGCGTTTTTTTAGCACTGGTGGTCTGATACTGAGGCCCCACCGAAGCAGTCTTAGTGACAAACATTTTGAAGCATGCCTCCTCTCAAAGCTTAACTTTAAGTTTTTGAAATAGATTCAAAACATTATAATTGAGGGTGCATAACCGTTGAGTTGTTTAATCGTTTTTCTCCACTTTGCGAACACTGAACATTACAAAACATGATCTGTAATTTGTAATTAATTACATTTTTAAATGGTAATTTTGTTTCCGTAATTAATTACTTTCCTGAAGAAGTAATTGTGATCAGTAATTAATTACATTTTAAAGACAGTAATTTTATTTGTAATTAATTCCTTTTTGGACGGTAATTTTGCAGCACTGCATGGAGTTTGGTATAATAATTTAATTGTACATAAGCACAGCACCAGTTGACTGTTTGGACTTCGACCTTGTTGTTTTGTCTATTGAGACATAAGTTTGTTTATTGGGACATTATTCTATGTATAAGATGAGTCCAAATGTTACCTAAGTTTTATAAGCAGATAAATGCAAAGTCAAAACATTTACAAGGTATGGATGGGTATAAAACTTACTAATGGACTTTATATTTCAGAATATAGCTTTTATAGAATACATTTTTCCGGAAAATGTTAGCGTTAAATTTTTCCGGAAAATGTTACATAATGCGCAATTACATAATGGGCGGGGTGGGAGGGGGTTCCCAACATTAGTTTTACATAATGGGGGCTTAAATGTAGTTATTCATACCATTTTTTACTTCAATTTTCCAGAAAATTCCTTAATATTTACCACGTTCTGCAATTCCAGCACGCAAGGACCCCTCTCCAAAAGTTGGGCCCCTTCTTGCCTAACCAATATTTGTCATCTTTTGACCTAACCAATTACCAATATTTGTTATTTTTTTATAAATATTCAGTCGCAATAATCGTACTGATAATTACAGAAGCTGCGCAAGCCCATTTAATAGCCTACTTAATTTCCTAACTTCCAGTAATAAAAATGGCTAATACGAAAGATTCTCAACCGGCGTACTTATGCATGGACACGGGAATTTCAACCAAATATTACCCCCGGTATTATCTCTTCAGGTAATATCTCCCCAGGTATTGGTCTGTGTACGGTAAATATGTACTATTTAAAACACGAGTAGGAGTGTTTTATCAGATATAAAACGCGAGGCGCAGCCGAGTGATTATTATCTGATAAAACACGACAACGAGTGTTTTGAATAGCTTAAAATACGACTACAAAAGAATACTAATTAGGATGAACCATTATATAATCATGCTAATTAGGATGAACAATTATATAATGCCACATGTGTTTTATCAGATATAAAGTCACTCCACGTGACACATTACGGGTGACATGATTTGCACAAGGTTTACGAATTATTAATGAGTATTTATTAATGAGAATTATTAATGAGTAAAATAAATAGGTGCGTTTGTGTGTTCATACATTAAGTCTGTGTGATATAGTATATTTTGGAAGTTTGTATATATATATATATATATATATATATATATATATATATATATATATATATATATATATATATATATATATATATATAT